ACGTAGTTGGTTGACGAGTGCGGCGCCGTATTCGTATCGAGTAGAGATGGGTTAACTCGATTAACTAACTCGAGTTAAATCGATATAGTAACTCGAGTTTTAAGGCATTCAAATAGGAGGAGTTGAGCAGCCATGTATGCGCTCCATAAGTCCTTCCGCGGGTTTGGAGTGTCATTACCACTCCCTCATGTTTCGGTGAAGTTGTCAAGGCCAATTACAGCCAACATTATAATAGTTCGAAAAATTAGAAACTGTTTCTTCTAGCTAAACTACAACGATTATTTAAAAGAGCAATACATAAGTTTCTTGCTCGTTCTTCTTGTGAAGAGACAGCTTTCCGAATGAGCGGTAGATTAAAAAAAATGTTAAAGTGCTTAAATGAAGTTTATTTAATTAAACGATTGTCTATTCTATTCGAGTTAACCCGAGTTAACTCGAGTTACCTGAATTTCAACTCGATTTAACTCGACTCAAGTTTATTACGAGTTAGCATGTCACATCTCTAGCTATCGAGTGGCGGCGCGCGCGCAGTTATTCCGTACAAAAAACGCGTGCTATTGTTGATCGTGCTTTCTAACGTTTCTACTGCACGGATGCCTGAGTTACGTCTCGTGCGCCGCCAATAATGAAATTTTATTAGACAATTAACCAGCCAGTTGCAGGCTAAAATATTTTTGTAAACGTTTACAGAAAAATACGGTTTGATACATAAGTATGGCGCGAGTCATCATCTGTTGGTCATGGTTTTTGATCACAGCAAAATATTTACATTTTTAATTATAACTAACCACCCAACCCATCTTCGCACATGTATTATACATATTAACCTTCCTCTTGAACCACACTATCTATTAAAAAAACCGCTTCAAAATCCGTTGCGCAGTTTTAATGATTTAAGCATACATAGGGAGTAGGGACGGACAGACAGCGACAGCGACTTTGTTTTATACTATGTAATGAAGTGTTCATAATTTTCTGAGTAATTGACTTATGTATTGGGGGAAAGATGATTGATAGTAATGTGGACTGATCTTATTGCCAGCAATGTACCATGTCAGGTTGACCACCACGCGGTTTTCCCTGGAAACCGTCGTGATGAATTCTTAGTGAATTTGTCACGATGTGCTAACTGACCTGACCTCATGTTCATCTTATCATCCTCCACTGGTGCCCCGCCAGCGTAAACCGTTAGCGCAGGCGGGTGCAACATTCCATTTTATTTCACAAAAAAAAATACATGGTAATGTGTGTATATATTTGTTACTAGCTACTTGCTAAGAGGAAGGTTTATTTGTGTAATACATGTACACCCGGGCGAAGCCGGGGCGAATAGCTAGTTATATTATAACCGAAGAGTTTGTTTGAACGCGCTAATCTCAGGAACTACTGGTTCGAATTGAAAAATTTTTATGTTGGATAGTCCATTTATCGAGGAAGGCTTTAAGCTATATAACATTACGCTACGACCAATAGAAGCGAAGCTGCAATGAAAAATATTGCAAAAGGTGGAGAAATGAATAGCAGACGAAATTACGCAAGTCAGCTAGTGTAGAACGAATAGATCCCCTTCTTTAAACCATCAAAGTCTCCCCTCAGTAATGGCCAATCTATTTTTGGCAAGACTTTGTAATAATAATAATAATAATAATACCCAAACACCTACATCATAGCCTGAAACAATTAGATATACAAAAAACACTTTACATCACCCTTCAAAAAGCTGCCATCTTAAATACTTGTCGTACAGTCCGAAAATTTCTCGAAATCGATGAAAATGATATAACACCAGTCACACCAGGCACACAATAAGTACACACACACTCACACATACACACACGCGCACACACACATACACACACTCTGCACTTACTTGGTTTCGGCCCGTAAGTGTGGAGAAAACCAGCAATAGCTGAGAAAAAATAAAGAATAATAATAATCTTAGGACAATTCACACAGCGCCATCTAGACCCAAGTTAAGCTAGCTAAAGCTTGTGTTACGGGTACTAGATAACTGATACAAGTACATAGGTATTTTTTTTTGTAAATACATACATATTATACATAGAAAACACCCAGACCCATACAAACAATCATACTCATGAATACAAATGTTTGTGCCGTGCGAGGAATCGAACCCGCGACCATCGGTCGTAAAGCGGTGTGCTAGACCGCTGGACCACCGAGGTCGTCGTAATTGTACTTTGAACAATGGATGTAAAGAAATTACTAACTATTAGTATTCATTGCCATATGCCAACATAAATGATCACATGCAATAATTGTAGTTATATATTCGTTTATAAAAATATATGTGGCGAATTTACTATTGTCGCGCAGCAACACCGTTGCCTAGCTACGACAGAGCAATAAAATAACAAGTCTATCATTCGAGACCGACCCCCTCCGATCGATCCCCCGTCCAATTCAAACGGGGATCGAAATTACGACGGCCTGAGCCGAGGTTCGAACCCCTAGTGGTGCCCTCAGACTAAAGTCGTATCCGTCGGGCGGGAGTTGGCCTTCAGCCGCTCCATAAGTCCTTCCGCGGGTTTGGAGTGCCATCTGCACTCGCCCCATAACGTCCGGTGAAGCTGTAAAGGCCAGCTACGGCCAACAGCATTAGAGTAGTCCGAAAAAAAAAAAATTCGAGACCGAATTGCGTTCTTGTACATATACTAATTGTACATACTTGATATTATAAATATGTACATAGCCATAATGTGGACTCATCATTTCATCTCCTTTCCTGCTGCTGCCACAATACATGGAACACATTACATAAATAATAGCCCCATCTTACACGCTAAATGTATTATAAAAGTATATGTATGTATTTTTGTATTTACGTTATAAAATAAACTTATATTTTTTATCAACGACTAGCTCGCGACTTCGTCCGCGTGGAATTTAACTTTATTTTTTCTAAAATAAAAGTAGACTAAGTTACTCCTTATTACATCAGCTACCTGCCAAAAAAAGTCCCGTCAAAATCGGTCCAGCCATTTCAGAGATTAGCCGAAACAAACAGACAGACAAAAATTGTAAAAAATGTTATTTCGGTGTAAGTACCGAAAAAAAGTCCCGTCAAAATCGGTCCAGCCATTTCAGAGATTAGCCGGAACAAACAGACAGACAGACAAAAATTGTTAAAAATGTTATTTCGGTGTATGTACCGTATTTATATTCATATGAATGTAGTATAAACGGTTATTTCAATATTACAAACAGACGCTCCAATTTTATTTATATGTATAGATTATTATTAAATATATCATCTAAATTATAGATCTCGTCATACTCGTGAACGGGTGCTGCTTGTGGGAACTGGTCTGTTCAGGTTGTGAACACTGATTAAATTTTTTGTTCTTTGCGATAGCATATGCTGGTGGTCACTCTATTCTCCCAAATTTGAATTTTAATAACTGTATTTATCATAAACATGTTCCACTATTATTTGAAAAAAATTACGAGCTGAGTTTCTTGTCAGTTCTTCTCATCTCGATATCATTCCGAACTGACGGTAGATTTGACATATCATAAGAGTCTGTAATAGACCTACATGAATAAAGATATTTTGAATTTGAATTTGAATTTGAATTTGATCATCTAGTAGCACATACTTATGAATCGTGTTTTATATAATTATTTGCATGTGTTGTGAACAGTAATTATAAATTAGATTGTATCAATCCACAATTGTACATTACGGTCCATTGCGCGGCGCGATGGTCCGTCCGTCCGTCTGTACACGTTCTGCCGTTTTTGCCGTTACCGTCGCCGTGACGCGCCTGTTGCAATTATCTACACGCCAGAATCTGTTATATTGGAAGTGGGAACATTCCTACACGTCCTTAGATGCTGTTAGAAATAACATGTATCTAAACATATCGAAATCTATTGCGAAATTTAATAACAATAATAATCTTAGGACATATCACACAGCGCCATCTAGACCCAAGTTAAGCTAGCTAAAGCTTGTGTTATGGGTACTAGATAACTGATACATATACATAGATATATTTTTTTGTAAATACATACATAGAAAACACTCAGACCGATACAAACAATCATACTCATGAATACAAACGTGCAAGGAATCGAACCCGCGACCATCGGTTGTAAAGCGGTGTGCTAGACCGCTAGACCAGCGAGGTCGTCGAAGAAATTTATATAAATCTAAGCGTAGCGTAAAGAAGTGATGCAGCCGAAGCTGCGAGGGTCAACTAGTATAGTTATAATAGGTAGTTTGTATGAGATATGTGAAAAAGTTGGTGTCACGGTGTCTGCACTTGTTATTAATGAGTTCGTTCCCAGGTTGTGCACACGTCCACGATGGCCGTTTTATTACAAGATTAATATATACTTAAGTAGCAAAATCTCAAAGCAATGCATTAAGAGACGATGTACTATAATAATATCTCAGGATAATTCACACAGCGCCATCTAGTCCCGAGCTAAGATGAGCTTGTGTTCTGGATACTAGACAACTGGTAGAAATCCTTGAGATTTTTTTATGTAAATACATACATAATACATAGACACAACCCAGCCGAAAACAATCACACTCATGAATACAAATGTCTGTACCGCGTGAAGAATCGAACCCAAGTCCATCGGATTGTAATACAAATGATAATTGTAATCATGTACAACATTTATTTGAAAAGAATACGAGCTGAGTTTCTTGTCAGTTCTTCTCATCTCGAAATCATTCCGAACTGACTGTAGATTTGACATATCATAAGAGTCTGTAATAGACCTACATGAATAAAGATATTTTGAATTTAGAATCGAAATTTATCTATCAAATCTACCGTTTTGACATATCATAAGTCTGTAATAGACCTACATGAATAAAGATATTTTGAATTTGAATTTGAATTTATTTTGATAAATTTTCTAGAAATGTTCACGTAAAAAACATACACTTATTGAGATTTTAAAATTCTGTAATTCTGTTTTTAAAACCTTTTTAAAAATGATATTGTGATTATTTCCAGGTGTAGACGTGACCGCCAACCAAGACGAGATCTCCTCCCACGAGACCTTCCAGCTGGAGTTCGACTGGGCGACCCGTCGCTGGTACATCCGCACCATGCAGGACCGCTACTGGACCTTGGAGACGGGCGGCGGCATCCAGGCCAGCGGTGACAACAAGTTAGTCCTCTTTGATCACCTGCTTCTTCCTTATCCCATTTATTTGGGGTCGGCGTAATATGTTTTTCGCTTCCATTCATCTCTGTTCGCAGTCATCTCGTTATTTACTCCCTTTCTGACCATATCATCTTTCACACAGTCCATCCATCTCTTTTTCGGTCTTCCTCTGCCCTTATAACCATCCACATTCATATGTAATACTTTCTAAGAGTATGTAATCATGTTATTGGTTTACTATATATTATTATACTAGCTACTCGCCCCGGCTTCGCTTCCATTCACATTCATATGTAAGTTAATCCTTTTTTGGATGATAAAAACATGGTACACCTGCCTTTTTTACTTGAAGAAAATCCCTCATGGAGACCAACCGGGGAGGCAAGCCGGTACTGTGAGACTCGTACTCAATAAAAACTCCAAGATGTCCCTCGTCCAATGTCATATGACGGAGTCGCGGGATCGGAACAGTCCACCGACTCCGACGGCGATGGTACACCCGCCTGTGCTAACGGTTTACGCTGGCGGAGCACCAGGAGGATGATAAGATGAGCATGAGGTCAGATCAGTTAGCCCAATATGACTATTTCACAGGGAATTTATCACGATGCTTTCCAGGGGGAACGTGTAGGTCAAACTAAAAATGTATGTAAAAAATAAACTAAAATGTAAACGGTTTGTATTGCACATACAAAAATAGTTTCAAGCAGGTGATATAATATTGTTGACGGCCTCTGTAGTCTAGTAGTTTAGCACACAGCTTCGCTTCAGTACACTGTGCAAACATTTGTATTCACGAGTATGATTGTTTGTATCGGTCTGGGTGTTTTCTATGTATTTTCAAAAATATATATCTAAGTATCGTATCAGTTGTTTAGTTCCCATAACCCAAGCTCTGCTTACCGTGGGACTAAATGACAAGGAGCGGATCATGAATTTGTGGGACCCTGGTCTAAATCTATTTCGGAGCCAACCTAATTACTCAACTAAAAAATACACCGACCAAAAACAAGCGACTAGAAATTCCCCGTTCCTTTCCATAGACGCAGACTTGCATGTTGATTGATATCAGGGTTGCCAACCTTATGATACATTTTTTATATTCTAAATATCGTTTCAGTGGGGACTGGGGGCCCTTTGTATCCTCGGGGCCCTGGGCTGCAGCCCAAAAAGCCCTTAGGTAGATCGCCCCTGTATGGGGTGCCTGTGTGGCGCTGTGTTAATTGTCCAGGGGTTATTTATTTGTTTATAATTATATATCAGTTGTCTAGTACCCATAACACAAGCTCTGCTTACCGTGGGACTAGATTTTTTTTTTTAAAGGATGATAATGGAATGGTGCACCCGCCTGCGCTATCGGTTTACGCTGGCGGGGCACCAGTGGAGCATGAAGTCAGATCAGTTAGCCCAACGCGACAAATTCACCGGGAATGTATCACGATGGTTATCAGGGGGAACCGCGTGGAGGTCGATCTGACATCTCCCCTTCCCCTTGACAAGGTGGGCGTGGGACTAGATAGCACTGTGTTAATTGTCCAGGATTATTTATTTATTACTATCAGTTCTCTAGTATCCATAACACAAGTTCTGTTTACCGTGGGACTAGATGGCGCTGTGTTAATTGTCCAGGGTTATTTATTTATTTATATCAGTTGTCTAGTACCCATAACACAAGCTCTGCTTACCGTGGGACTAGATGGCGCTGTGTTAATTGTCCAGGATTATTTATTTATTAATATCAGTTGTCTAGTACCCATAACACAAGCTCTGTTTACCGTGGGACTACATGGCGCTGTGTTAATTGTCAAGGTTTATTTAACTGTCCAGGGGTTTTTTATTTATTTGTTTATTATAATCTACAGGTCATCGAATGCCCTGTTCGAGCTGGAATGGCAGGGCGATGGCGCGGTGGCCTTCAGAGCCAACAACGGTAAATATTTGAACACCAAGCGCTCGGGACATCTGTACGCCAACGTGGATGCTATCGATGACAACTGCAAGTACTACTTCTATCTTATCAACAGGTGGGTTCTATTCTCGGTTACTATATAGCAGGGTTTCACAACCTTAGGGAAACCCCACCGTAGCCTTTCTAAAATTCTTATATTATTTATTATTCTTATTTTACTTTTTCTCCCCCCCCCCCTTCTTTGTGTAACATACCTAATTTATTAAAAAAATTAATTGTTCACTTAAAAAACTTAAATTATAGGTGTTAGGAAGAAATCACTAAAAAGAAATTATAATTTTTCATTATATTTTGAAAATTTACTTCATGAACAATTATTTAGCGATTCTTATTCTATTATATATCTTACTAATATTATATACGTAAAAGTTTGTGAGTACGGATGTTTGTTGCTCTTTCACGCAAAAACTACTGAACTAATTTTTATGAAACTTTACTGTAATATAGATTATACCTCAGAATGACACATAGGGTAAATACCCTTTTGAAAGGATGTTATGTAAATTGGACATATAATCATATGATTGAATCAGCGAAGAGGTGAAAGATTGTATATTATATGTGTACATACTTGTATGTGTATATATATAGTTTGTATTTGTTAATAATGGTTGACAATAAATGATTTTCTTTTTTTCTTTCTTCTAAAGTTCTTGTAAAAAAAAATCTGTGATAATATTTGTTTCCAGGCCCATTTTGGTGCTGAAGTCTGAACAAGGCTTCGTGGGCCCCAAGGGCGTGAAACTAGAATGTAATAAGGCCAACTACGAGACAATACAGGTCATCCGCGGGCCCAAGGGAGCCGTTTACTTCAAAGGTAATTATTTTTTTTAATAAGCTATTTTCATAAACCCAATTAAAAGTTATGTTTATTCATGTAGGTCTATTCCAGACTCTTATTATATGACAAATATAGTGATTAGACTATCGTCAGTTCGTTGTGAGTTAAGCAGAACTGACAAGAAACTCAGCTCGTATTCATATAAAATCTATATGTATAAAAAATGAGTTGCTGTTAGTTAGTCTCGCCAAAACTCGAGAACGGTTGAACCGATTTGGCTTATTTTAGTCTTGAAATATTCGTGGAAGTCCAGGAAAGGTTTAAAAGGCGATAAAATATGAAGAAATTGCATGTAAAATAGTAAAAATGACTATTTTCTCATACAAACGGCTGATATCTGCCAAACAGATGCCTTCAGATGTTTATTGCGTAATAAACTTCAAAATTCCTTTAATTCTGAGCCGGAATGGAGTTCGCGGTATCAGCTAGTATATTATATATAATCTTAATTACACTTATGATATGTCAAAGCTAGAGTATCGTCAGCTCGGAGTGCTTTCGAACTAAGAACTAACAAGAAACTCAGCTCGTATTCATATTATATCTCAGTTCTATTCATACAGCGCCCTCTAGTTCCAAGCTAAGCAGAATTTGTTTAAGGGTACTAGACGACGTAGTAAAAAACGCTTATTTCAAAATTACAAACAGACACTCCAATTTTATATTACAAACAAACTATTTACTGACAATGACACTGTCTTCAGGACAAAACGGCAAATACTGGCACGCGGACAGCGAGAGCGTGACGTGCGACTCGGACTCCCCTCAGGGCTTCCACCTGGAGCTCCGCGAGCCCACGCGCCTCGCCATCCGCGCCGCCGCCGGCCGCGAGTACCTCGCCGCGGCCAAGAACGGGAACTTCCGCCTCGTCGGAACCGACCTCAGCTCCGCCACGCACTGGGAGTATTAAGCTAGCATCCTGGAGACTCCTCGAGGTCCACAGTCGGGCATCGTGGTACCACCACGCCACGAGACCAATTTTACAATTTACCGTACGATAGTAATGATGTTTACAAGTTCATTAATCAGATTTTTGTAATGCAGTTCTAGATCAGAATCAAAAATCATTTATTCATGTAGAGGACATTTTAGCCGCTAATGAACGTCAAATTTCAAGTCCACTTCAGTTGGCGTTGGAAACAGTTTGAAAATGATAGTTTTGCGATTAGGTAAGAACTTGACATTTGCTGTTTCAAACTATATGTATCACTATGTATCAAATGTATAATATAAAGCGGGTTCTTGCGAATCATACTTTATCAAAATTTACGGTCTAAGTTCTGATATTGTAGTTTTTACAAACTGCATCGTCTAGGTGTAGCTTTAATTATAAAGAGTAACAAGTTACAACTCAAACGTCTTACATTTAGGACTTTATTACACGCGTCATTGATGTGAAATTTGGATGTTTAACATATACCTATATTTTTTATATCAGTACAGGATTTTGTATGAAATTGTTTCTTTTATAACGCCATGATTAGTATTGCGGCTTGTATATGAATTAAAAACGTTGTAATATAGTTGTATATATATTTTACATCTATATTGTAACGTTAACGTTGTACTATCGTACCATGTTACGGTAAATTATAGAAGCGTCCATTACCACTAATCGGAACCTGGCCCGCTCGACTGAATCTCTTTATTCCACAATACTCTTCCATAGCGTATCCGAGTAGAATTAAAAATTTACGTTTTGGAATCTGCTGGCGTGGGACTTAATTTATCAATCGTCCATTAAAAATGTGAACGACTGCGAGTGAACGTCCACAGTTGGCGCCATTCTGAACTTTTGCCGCCATTACGTGTAAAACAAGATGGCGGCGTCCGAACGACCCAATCAGCTGATTCCGGCGAGAATCTGCTGCCAATGGATTTTATAATGTGAAAAATGGAATGTTAGTCAATGCACGGAAGCATTGTCGATGTACATTCTGCAGAAAAAAATGTTGTTTCTCTGAAGGCGTCAACTGCGGCGCAACGCCCGCATTTGCATTTAATACGTTAAGGGTTTAAAAAGCGCGATTGCGCGAATGTGATCAAATGAAATATCGCTTCACTTTAATATTATTATAATCATAGATTATTTTACTTTACCGATAGATCTGCCGTCACTATTGCTTGTTTCAAAAATTTTTTTTGATGTTTCGTGACCGTCGCTCGTGCTTGAAATTATTTATTTTTAGATATACGATAATTAATTAGTATCGGGGGACATTATTGCATATTTCGAGACTATTTATTGGGTATTGTGTCTAGTCGATGGATTTTATACATTTGTACGGACTTAACGCTTGTCGCCGTCTCGTAGGTTAGTGGGAAGGTAACATCGTTAGACTGAAGTCTACAGAGTTGAAATATAGATCAGTAAATTCAGTAATTAAGTTTAAAAGGGATTGACGCAATACCAGACCGCGTGCTAGCGGAGTACAGCGTGCACTCACACCTTAGGGCGGTATTACATTATCATATATTGCATCATATCTACATTTAGTCAAACATAATAGATATATTCAATAACTGCTAAGCTATGTCTTCATAAATTGACAAATAAAAGTGGTTTTGATTCAATATATACATATGTATGTATTACGTGTCTGTACACGCATCGTTTGCGCCCCGTACGTTGCTCAATTCGTATATCGCACGGAGTCTGGCCTATAACTAGTTAAGTTATTGTAAGTAACGTTAGGATTAAGCTTAATATGAGACATCCCGCCAGTCCATAAAACCACTTGTATAATGGAATCCTCGAGTTTTTGACTATTTTACATGAAAATACATTTATAGTATGTACTGGTGCGTAACAGATATCTTGTATATAAGCGATTATTTGAATGTAACGGCGCAACACTTGCAGCGCGGGAAGCGTATCTCTTATAATGTTTTTTATAATGAACAAAACGTTTAATAAATATTTGTACTACATAATTGCTGATCCTGAAACTTATCATTTGTACGATAATGTCTTTGTAAACTATTAATTAATAAATTATAATCATATTGTATTTTGGTGTTTTATTTTATCTTGTCTATGTGAAAGATGATATGGCAAGAAAGGGAGTAAATAACGAGATGACTGCGAACAGGGATGAATGGAAGAGAAAAACATATCGTCGATTTAATAGAAAAATTACATTTTTAAAATTAGAAGCTAGTATTGCTTCCATTCATATAATTCAATTAAATTAACCACAATAAAATAATTTAAATAAATTTAAAAACTTTAAATGCTTGTCTCTCGTAGACAAGACAAAAATGTGCTTTTTGAATACTGCCATTTTTCTATTTAACCAACGATATTACGCCGATCACAAATAAATGCGATAAAGAACAAGATTTTAAATTGTTTTGATCTGTCGCCGGTGTGACACTGTGCATTGAAATATATATTTTTTATATTATAGAAAAAAAAATTATGGGTTTCTGATGGAAATAGTATAAATGACGACCTCAGTGGTCTAGCGGTCTAGCACACCGCTGTACGACCGATGGTCACGGGTTCGATTCCCCGCACGGCACTAACCTTTGTATTCATGAGTATGATTGTTTGTATCGGTCTGGGTGTTTTCTATGTATAATATGTATGTATTTACAAAAAAAATATCTATATATATGCATCACCTATCTAGTACTCATAACACAATCTTTAACTAGCTTAACTTGGGTCTAGATGGCGCTGTGTTAATTGTCCTGAGATTAATATTATTATTAAATTATTCATAATAAATTTATAGTCGTATAAGTATAGAAATTCAAAGCACACTTATTTAGTTGCTTAGTTAATTCCATATAAAGAACACTTATTTACTTATTATTCTCTGCACCACCAATGGTTGACTGGTAGAAAATGCCGCATGGTGTTAAGTCCGCCAAATGTACTATACTATATATTATATTGTGTGAATTAAAGTTAAATTAAATAAATAAAAAAAATATATATATCAGCAACGATATTCAAACTTGGTATTGCAAACTGATTGTCATCTGATAGTATGTCTTTACTTGATATATTTATATTATTTTGTTAAATCCACTACCATTAGCATGTGTGAGACCACATATATTCAGTGTAGTAACCTGACCGCCGCTACTGAAAGCGTTTCGGCCTTCTCTATTGGTGATAAAATTCCAATTATTATTCGATGTACTTACTGGATGTAAGTACATCGAATAATAATCGGAATTTTATTATTACAGTAATACCTAATCCACAAAATATTAGTTTTTTTTATAGCAACAAACGAACTTGCGGCTCACCTGATTGTCGGCCTTGGTTGTGGTTTAACAAATCGCCTTCTAAAGATCGCGGGTTCGATTCCTCGCATGGCACAAACATTTGTATTCATGAGTACGATTGTTTGTATCAATCTGGGTGTAATATGTATGTATTTAAAAAAAATGTATTTGTATCAGTTATTTAGTACCCATAACACAAGCTTTAGCTAGCTTAACTTGGGATTAGATGGAGCTGTGTGAATTGTCCTGAGATTGTAATTATGATTATTTCACTAACATATGTCACAGAAATGAATCTGTACTTTAGCTGCACTTCACTGCAGCAAGACTGAAGAAGCAGTCGCCACACAATACCGTAGACTGTACAGTCTTTTTTTTTTATTTTCGTATTTAATATACATTATTTATATTATTAACCGGGTCTTAACACGAACCAATTGTATGGCAAATAAAGGTATTTACCTCTCTCGACGTTTCGGATAGGTTGCACTAGCCGTGGTCACGAGCTGACTGGAGTATTAAAATTACTTCGTGTTAAGACCAGGTTAATAATATAAATAATGTACAGATATAAATAACAACTGACAATAATTTATAATCAATGTTATATTTCATTTTACAATTACAATTTATATTTATAAAATGAAAATAATAATAACGTACAGCTGTATCGATTCAATAAAATTACATCAACAAAATTATTAAAAACATATTACATATAGATTTTGTTAGAGCAAAACACCGATCACTTGGTCCTGTCCGCGTACATAATTCTGTATAAATGTAAATTAATTAGAAATACAATATTGTATAATAGATATTTAATTAAATACAATCAGATATCGAGTAAGGCCCTGTCAGCGACCGAACCTGCGCCCTATATTATGTCACAGCGTTATCCAGTCTATATAAATGTTAATTTACATTATTTGTATACTGATTCTAATTCACTTATTACCTTCACATCGCTATACTCTGTGACATTGTGACGCTATATGCGTAAGTTGCACTACCACCTCACCAAATTGAAGATATATTTTATTGGGAGCTCGTCTAACCCGATGATTATACTTGTCAGCGAGGCCTGACGATACAAGGTTAATAAAATTCATTGTCATATCAGCGAACAAAGGTATACCTTCCTTCTATTCTGCCAGCTTATCATTAATTTCCCTGCCACTCGTCACCCATTAAACTGAAATACAAGCCGTATTTCAGTTTAATGGGTGACGAGTGGCATTTAAAAATTGACAAATCCAAAATACAGTTTACAAAGCAAAATCAGGGCATTCTTCTGTCTTTCTAAAATAAGTGAAACAGAAAACGCAGAGGACTATATTTAACACGTTAAAGGCCGCATGCCCACCGGTGGGTCCACGAAAATAAATTTACACGTTGTGATCGTATCACCCGTGGGCACTTTAATTGAAATAAATCTAGGGGTTAAATAATGACAACCTCGGTGGTCTAGTGGTTTAGCACACCGCTTTACTATCCGATGGTCGTGGGTTCGATTCCTCTCACGGTACAAACATTTGTATTCATGAGTATGATTGTTTGTATCGGTCTGGGTGTTTTCTAGGTATAATATGAATTTATTTACAAAAAAAAATGTATCCATGTAAATACATGGATATCAGTTGTCTAGTACCCATAACACAAGCTCTGCTTAGCTTGCGACTAGATGGCGCTGTGTCAATTGTCCTGAGACATTATTATTATTTTTATTATAAATATCTACCTCAAATTATTGTACACTAAAATATACTTAAAAAATAATATACGTAATTAACAATAAAAAAAAAAGCCGGTCAATAAAAAAAATGTGAGAAATAAGATTCTCCAATGCGGTCTTTAACGTGTTAAAAATAGCTCCAGCCACCTGGTGGGCCAGTATGAACAAGCTTGTCGCCGCGGAAAAATTGCCCGACCCGACAACTCAGGACAGGTTGTCCTGGCGCCGAAAAATTAGGAGAGCCGACCCCGCATAAAGTGGGACAGAGCTAAGAGGAAGAAGAATTTCGCACTAGAACCACAACCAGCTGTAACTACACTTAGACAGTACGTCGCTCTCAGTAAAATCTATCTTCACGCCTACCTTATGGGTAGATAGGTAGCCACGTGTAACCTATAGTCATATAGCGCTACAACTCCGTACAGAACATAGGCGTGTGTAGTTTTGTATTACAATAATATTAATTTGTTATCCTACACCACGTAAATAGTTTTAGTCCATATATATTAATTCGCTCACAAAATCCACTCGCCACTCACATGAAACGAAAAACACGCATAAATTGAAAAGTAGCTTATTAATACAGGATGAGTCGTAAACTGTACAACATTTCTAAAGATACAAAGATAAAATTAAAAAAAACCCTTCATACGAATTCCGTGGTTTGATGGTAAATTGATCAAATGGTTCAATTTTGTAGAAACATTCAAAACTTTACTTTCAAATTTTCACTTTATTTCTAGGTGAGAGGGTTCAGTTTGCTAAATATCCTTACTTACCTTTAGCTTCGTATACTGTTTACGACTGATCCTATACAGAATGACACAGTAATATATACCTTAATACGCATAATATAGATACCGGCAAAATGACATTTGACAGAATCGAATCGGATTCAACTCGAAATATAATCGAATAGAACTTATCGATTGAATTACCTAATTATTGCTTTATCGGAGGTTCATTTTATGTATTATTTACATTATTGTATTATATACATGTCTTTAAGATTTGTTTGCGTATCGAGCTTATTCTAGAGTACTATTTGAAGTTTTTTCGATTCGAATGCGTTCAAAAGTCAATCCGCCTAATCTACCACTCGTCCGAAACAACCAGACGTTTAAAATTACCAATAGCGGTAGAACTATCATATTCACATTCTCAATAAAATTAACTAAAAGAAAATTTGAAAATCAGCTTTAAATTATAGACATAAGGTCTAGTTTCATATTTTTCAGTAATGCCTTTTATTACAGTGTCATATTTATTCTATTCGGATTGTGACTGACTCAAATACATGTTTATAGAGAGAGTTTATGTAAATTAGTAAAATTGTTATACATCACTACTCGTATTATATAACTTTTTTTTACAAAATACGGGGCATGAGCATACCACAGTAGCTGGTCCATACTAACATTATAAATGCGAAAATATGTCTGTCTGTCTATCTATTTTGCTCGATCTAATGCTAAGACTGGTTATCGAATGTGTGGTACATTAAAAAGGTAACAACATCTGCTCTTTCCTTTCATTCATTTGTGGTCGACGTTACATGTTTTGTCTTCCATTCATCTCTGTTCGCAGTCATCTCGTTATTTACTCCCTTTCTCACCATATCATCTTTCACACAGTCCATCCACCTCTTTTTCAGCCTTCCTCTGCCCTTATAACCATCCACATTCATATATAATAATTTCTTTTAAATATTATCTTCATTCTGTTTCTATTATGCAACCACCTAAGTGTTTAAATTAAGATGTATCTGCAACTGCTGAACAGTTCATGAATTTAAGTGAAAATAGAATGTATCATGAGAAGCAGAGGGTACATTTCATCTCAACAATGATATTAAGTCACAGATTCAAAATTTTGGTTAAAAGTTTACAACTTATTTACATAAACTCTCTGTACATGTCATAATTATTATTGTGTTACTTATATTAACGCCAGATGGCGCCACTGCACTTTGTACCATAGCCACAAAAACTACCCATATTCATAAAAACCTATTTACATTAGCTATTGAACTGTTTTGATCTTTCCCACTTATACATAACCTTACGACTGTAACCGCAAATGGGGTAGACAGAGCAAAACTGAACTGTCGACGTCGTCGAAAGCTACACTTGACGAATCGACTTTTAAGCTGCATTTATTTGAATATAATATTTTATGTATGAAATTATATAATGTTATATATTGGTGTCTTCCATTTTGTTATCTGTACAGCTATTTAGTATCCGTTATTAACTAATAGCACGCCCCGGACTCGCTCAGGTGTTCACAACATTATTAGTTTTTTTTATATATTAATATAATATATATCCAGTTGAACTTTGTAATAAATTCTTTTGCTTAGTGAATCAACGGGGGACCCAGGGGGGGTTATGGGGGTCAGGACCCCCCCCTGAGCTGGTTCCAGAACTTAGGTGGATCACTAATTGAACATAATTTTATATATTTTGTCACCATACAGATTTTATGTAACTACATACTTTCAATATTTAATTAATATAATATACAAAAACTTTGTATTATTAATAAAATATCTACTTTTTACTTGTTATCAAAATTAAATTATAAGTTCTTGACTTGACCACGACTATGTGACCCCCACCTGGCGCCAAAGCTAGATCCGCCCTTAGATTGAAAGGTAATATCTCTATCGGTCTAGAATTCAATCATAACAAATTCCCCTCTCAATATAATCCTTACATAATATAAAACAGAATCTCCACCGCTATCTGTTCACTTATATCTTTTAATATACTCAACGGATTTGAATGCAGTTTTCAGCAATAGATAGAGTGATTCAAGAGGAAGGTTTATATGTATAATACATGGGTGTTATAGTATAGAACAAGCCGAGAAATTTCAAGATTTGCTACGGGTTGCTAGTATTAGTCTAAAAAGTTTTCTATTTTCGTCAAAACACTCCAATAGTCAAGACTAGTTTGTACGTTATAGTTTTTATGAACAAGGTAATTATATATTAGTAGATATATATGATATTCAAATGACAAAAAATTATGATACATAAAACATGAATTCATTATGTGGATATTGCATTTATCAATTGTATAGGAACATATCTATTATATACAGGGTGTTGTAAAGTGTATACTAAGCGGAAAGCCCAGTTAAAATGTTTCTGATATTAAAAAATACTCCCAAAGAAGGAAACTTATGTAACAAAGAAGACACAAATCATACTAAACTCTAATTTATGTAATTTTATTCACAACTAGATGTGCACGCGACTTCGTCCGCGTGGAATATAACTTTATTTTTCTAAAATAAAGGTAGCATAACTTACTCCTTGTTACATCAGCTACCTGCCAATAAAAGTCCCGTCAAAATCGGTCCAGCTATTTCAGAGATTAGCCGGAACAAACAGACAGACAGACAAAAACTGTAAAAAATGTTATTTCGGTGTATGTACCGTTTTTATATTCATATGCATGTAGTAAAAACAGCTCATTTCAATATCACAAACAGAAACTCCAATTTATAATAATATCCAATTTGTAATATGCTTATAGTATATCTAATACTATAAGCATATTACTGTTATCGTATTTACCTAAGTTAGGTAAATACCAAAACTGCCTTCAAATGACAGCTTGCTGTTTTACCCAATGTTTACCTGGCAGAGAATGCCGTATGGGAATTATAAATATTTTTATAGTATAGGGGACAAACTGATGGTAAGTGATTACCGCCGCCCACGAGCACCCGCAATACCAGGGTAATTGCAAGTGCGTTGCCGGCCTTTTAAGAAATAAGCTGCTTTGGGAATTGCAAGTGCGTTGCTTGCATTTTAAGAAGGAGTAAGCTCTTTTCTTGAAGGTTCTTAGAAGTTTCGTATCGATTCAGAATAAGATATGATCCTATAAATATGACAATGTTACAACTCCACACTTTAAATGCTAAGCGACTTTAAAATTTATTTATACTTATACATTTTTTATCTTATATTTATATACCGATGGCTTATTACACTTGTGTTGATTATATTTTGGTATCCGAAAGGAAAAATTTTAATTTAGAAATATGTTTAAATTTCGGTCGAAATCGGCAATGACTTGAAGCGCCATCTAGTCCCAAACTAAGCAGAACTTACACCACAGGTACTAGACAACTAATATATATTATTTAATTTAGTGCTTTTAAAAACATATCTTTTTCTTTATTTAGTGTCGATATTAAAATTAATCGAAAACTAGGAGAAAATTCATTTAGACAACTAATATATTTAATTTATTGTTTTTAAAAAGATATATATTTCTTTATTTAGTGTTGATTTCTGACAATCAACAAACATCTGTACATAATCGGTGCTACAGGCAGTCCCCTTTGTTGGGGCTGCATTGAGGCTAATGTAACGGCCGCTCACGTAATCCTGGAGTGCTTGCAGTGTCCACACAACGAACACAAATCCTCGGAACGGTGAGGTCGCTCCGTGAAACGTGTGAAGACACAAGAAGTCTTCTGTACTTCTGGGAGGAGCTTGGCTGGCAACGTTAGTCTCCGATCTACACGCACAACGGCCCAAAAGAGAGGTTCATTGCGGAAAATGGAGTCCACACTACATTACATTATAATGTCCAATTCAAAAGTAATCGAAAACTAAGAGAAAATTAATTTAGACAACAAATATATATCTTTTTAATTTATTGCCTTTAAAAAGATACCTATATCTTTTTAAGTTTTCGTTCAGAAATACGTGATAAATTTTCTTTTTTTTTATTTCATTTTTAAATCCCTCCTAATTTAGTTGGTCTCCTTTCAACCGAAATCCACAATTTACACAATCAACTATTGTACTAAGTCATCGTTACACAAACTAACATTATTGACAATAAATAATTACATTTTGGCGTACAAAAATATATTGTAATTTTGACATTTTTAGGTTATTTATACCTGACAAATAAAAAATATATTTGTCAGGTTATCTTAATATGACATGTTAACTTGCCACAAGAGTAGGGAACTTTTGAATCACCCATCAAAGTTATAACAAAATTATTCTAAATATATCTTTTATTTTAAACCTTATTCCTATGGTCCTGGGTTCGAGTCCTCGATGCAAACATTTGTATTCACGAGTATGATTGTTTAGTATCTGGGTGTTTTCTATGTATATTATGTATGCATTTACTGATCTATCTAAATATTTATAGCAGTTGTCTAGTACCCATAATACAAGCTCTGTTTGTCTTGGGACTAGATGGCGCTGTGTGCATCGTCTAGAGACAGTATTATTATTAAATTTGATTAATAATACATAAAAAGTGCGTCAGTTCTTCTCTAAGTAGCAAAAATTTCATTTAATATCACTATATTTAAAAATAGGACGCACAACAAACTTATATAAATGTTTTGTCCTGTTCCTTCAAGTTATTCTCATAATTAGTAAGTGAGAAAACACTACAATACATATATTAGGTTAGGCTGCTGATATACAGTCGGTCAGTACAAAAATTATCACAGAATTACCACTTTGTCGCATATATTTAGAATAGTTTTCATTGAAGTTTTGATACGCATTCCAAATGTTCCCTACTTATGGCAGTCGTCTCTTAATAGATGGAGGTGCGAGTGAGACAGGTGTATATACACATCCTCTTTACGCGTACTCCATATTTAGCTACGTGTCTATATAAAGCCGTGTCTGCAGAAACTATTGACTTGGTTGGTCCGTAGTGATTTACACGAAGCAGCGGACACGGCTTTTTTTACCATGAATTAACTATTGCGATTATAATGCATTACTAGATGTATTCTAATAAAATTCACATTATTAAAATACATTTAGTAATACAATACCTTATTCCAGCATCTCTACACGCATATATTACCTCGAGTAGCATTTACAATAAATAGTGTCATACGGGGTACTCGGATAGTGCGCGTAGTGTGTAGTGCGTAGTGTGTAGTGTAGTGTGGAGCAAGCGACGAGTGCGTGCAGTGGCGCGGCACACTGGTTTATCTCCACTCTGTAATTATAAACAAAATGCATTGATTATTATCACCTCATCACTGTAGCGTTATATGTGACGGCCGCGATGATCTAGATCCAATTCCCAAAACGGGGGTACGTGAAGTTACACCGAGGGTTTTTTTTAGGACTACTCTAATGCTGTTGGCCGCAGCTGGCCTTTACAGCTTCACCGGACGATAGGAGGCGAGTGCAGATGGCACTCCAAACCAAAGAAGGAGTTATGGAGCGGCTGAAGGCCAACTCCTGCCTGACGGATACGACTTTAGTTGGAGGGCACCGCTAGGGGTTCGAACCTCGGCTCAGGCCGTCGTAACATCGGTCCCCGTTTGAATCGGACGGGGGATCGATCGAAGGGGACACCAAGGAGTATGTGCGGCTATCAGTAAAACAAAAGTGCACACACACTCACAAACTTTCACATTTATAATATTAGTGCGAACGTTATAATAAGGGGCACGCAAGGTTTGAGATCTCTTTTCAAGTGGTACGCAGCAAAAACTATTTGGGAACCACTGGTTTAGATATTTAAAAGAAGAAAGATATTTAATTCTTATTGTGATGAGACACAAGAGACAGATTAAAAGAACAATGATAACTATGACTATACAAAAGTGCTTAAATTAAGTTTATTTGAGTAAATGATTTTCTATTCTACTCTATTCTAGCTGTTTAGCATACATTTACTTCCGATAGTCGCGTGTTCGATTCCTCGCACAGTACAAACGTTTTTATTAATGTGTATGATTGTTTGTATTGATCTGGGTGGTTTTTATATTATGTAATTACAATAAGAAATGTCTAAGTATTCGTATCCGTTATTTAGTACCCATAACACAAGCTCTGCTTACTACGGGACTAGATGACGTTGTGTGAGTTGTTCCGGGGGAATAATAATTATTATATACGATGTGATGAGGTGTAGCTACTTAATTTATATTTCTTTTATATATATATATATATATGTAATAAATGTACAGGTGAAATAGTTGTACTACATTAGAAATATAAATAGAAATAATCTATATTCAAATAAACTCATTACAAGCACTTTATTAATAGTCATATTTTGAGTCTACCATTATTCATTAGTAAGTTTATTTGATAGTGTGAGACAAAAATTTATAATTTTAACTCAAAAATAATATTTTTATTGTAAGTTGGAATAATGATTAAATTTTAAATGTTATCACTCGTTAATAAGGCAAATTAAAGATATATTAAAAATATTGCCAGAAAATGTACGTCAGTTTGTATGTAACTTTAAACATCGTCCATTCGGTCCCAACCTGTCCGAAACGTAAACTCTGAGCGCCCGGACTTTACTATATCATTTTAATTGATAAATAAATATATGTATTGGCATAGAATGGAATAGAATAGCACAGTTAGCAATAAAGATATATTCTATTCTATTATATGCCAATACATATATTTATTCAACAATTAAAAACATATTATATGTTATAGTGTCATAATAGGCAACACTAGCCCCTTGCCAAAGAAAGAAAATAAAATAAAATATATATATATCTATATAAGGGTGCATACCAGTGCGCGGAGGGCTAGGAGAGGAAGGGGTTGGGGGTCTGCCGCGAGTGAGGCGGCGACCACGGGGACGTCGCTCTCGGCGCCGCCCACGGGTCCGACGCGGGGCCCACGGGGCCCACGGGACCTGCGGGGCCCATGGGAGCTGCGGGGCCCATGCCCGCGCCCGCGGGGAAGCTCACGCCGCTCAGACCCATCTGCTGCTGCTTCAGCTCGTTGATTGTCAATCTCGCCTGCACACACACATTATGATATTAATACGTACGTACAATATTACGAGATTCAGACGTAAATGAACCTTTGAAAGTTAGCAAATAATCTAGAAAATAAATTGAATTCAATTATTGAATTGAAAAAGCCACAAAAATTGTTTCACGTATTATTATTGAATAACAAGTGAAACAATTTTTATGGCTCGGTAATACGAGAATATATATAAATGAAAGAATGACCGTTGTCCTGCAACAACGAGTGCTGCTTGTAGGGACTGGTCTGCTCCTGTCACTACGACTGATTTAATCTTATTGCATGATTATATTTGACCCAAAAAATTTGTGCTTGTTGGTGGTTTGTATCCACACGTTTCGACTTGTAAATGTAAACTTACAAGGATTATTTAAAAGAGCAACACACAAGTTTCTTGCTCGTTCTTCTTGTGACGAGACAGCTTTCCGAACGAGTGGTAGATAAAAAACAAATTGTTATGACTATTCACAAGTGCTTGAATTAAGTTTATTTGAATAAATGATTTTCTATTCTATTCTATTCTATTCAGGAAAGAAACTATACCCTAGTGCGGTTTCAGAGGAAGGAAGCTCCTCTGAAACCAGCCAGCATAACATCGTGGAATAAACTACCTGCCGAAATTTTTCTAGAGATTACAGCTTTGTGTTTTTTAAGTAGAGTATATCAAAGTTAAAAGTAAGTAACGCGCACGTGACACATCTAGTATTTCAGGCATCCATAGACTAAAGTAACCGCACTTAGATTGTGGAATTAACCACATGTCGAAGTTTTCTCTAAAGTCTACAGCATTGTTTTTCAAGTAGAGTATATCAAAGTTAAAGTCAGTAACGCGCACGTGACACATCTAGTGTTTCATGCGTTCATAGCTACGGCAACATTTTACCATTAGACGAGCTGGTAACATGTTTTCTAATATCATTAATACATAATATAAAATTAAGTCGCTGTCGCTGTTTGTCCGTCGCTATGTATGCTTAAATCTTTAAAACTACGCAACGGATTTTTTAAATAGTTAGAGTGATTCTAGAGGAAGGTTTATATATATAATACATGTACACTCATGTGAAGCCGGGGTTCAAAAATCGAGGGTTGTTCATTTTTTAACCTTTCTTTAATTGCCTGTAATTTCATAAACATAAGGGTATATTTTTTCTGATAGCTCTGATGACTTGTTATTATTTCCTGTTTTCGGTCTATCGACTTTTGAGATCTGTTTGATATTAGATATATTATTATAAATTTAGTCATATACAATCCTCTCTCTAGTGTTAGTGTTTTTTTTTAAATAAATAGATCACCATATTTAAACATTTGAAGAGGTGTGTGTACACGCCCCTTTACGGTTTAGGTCTAGGATCTACTTCGTCGAGCACCTGAGAGCTTGATAGATGAGAGAGACAGAATAGAAGTGTGTTTATTGTATTTTTTTTCGGACTACTCTAATGCTGTTGGTCGCAGCTGGCTTTTACAGCTTCACCGGACGATAGCGGGCGAGTGCAGATGGCACTCCAAACCAAAGGAAGGACTTATGGAGCGGCTGAAGGCCAACTCCCGCCTGACGGACGACTTTAGTCTGAGGGCACCACTAGGGGTTCGAACCTCGGCTCAGGCCGTCGTGTAAGAAGCACTATTTATGATGGACGACTGAGGCTTTGCAGCTGGCTACCGCAAGGGAAACCCCAAGTAGCGCCCGTGACTTGTGACACGGGTGTAGGTTTAAAAGGCCCTTTTAGAATGAATTAACACTCACCTTCACTACTTGCAGCTTCCCCCCAGGCCCAACTAAGACCGGGATAAACCCATTGCTAATACAATTCACTTTAATATCCAAAACACAACTGGCACGCACTGCGCTCGTCGACTGAATGCCGCGGCTCACGCAACGAAAGAGGATTATTCAACTACCGACCTCCGTATTTGTAGACCAAAGTCAGTGTAGTAGGTTGGTCTATAATAATAAATACTAGATGGCGCTATTTACAATATTCGTAATAATCCTTACATTGGGTACTTCATTAGTACTAAAAACAGACTACCTTTTTTTAATATATTTTTAAAATATCGGATTTTTTCTACAATAATGATGTGAATTCTAACAGTTGTAACATTGATCTCCGTTGAATTGGACGGGGGATCGATCGGAGGGGAAAAAATATTTCGGCCTTATATAACGATTTTACACGTGTCGCGATTAAGCGCAGCTGCAAAAAACAGCAATATTCATAATATTAATACTAGATATAAAGACAAACTCGCTGTCCCCAAGTATCGTTTAGAAAAAGTTAATAGGTCTTTTATGGGAATAGGTATCAAAATTTACAATAAGATACCAAAGGATATGTTGGAATTCCCTTAAATAAATTCAAAACATCTGTTAAATCATATTTACTGAGCAAAGCCTATTACTCACTAAACGATTACTTGAACGACGAGTGTGCATGGCAATAGTTGTTCATGCACTGAATTTTCATTTAATGTTAGACATAGACACCTATATAAATATACATTGTAAATAAACTGGCTTTAAAAAAAAAAGTAATTTAATTGAGTTTCTTGCCAGTTCTTCTCAATTGGACCTATATACCGAACTGGACGGTAGGGAAAAATAAAATTATAATGTAAAAATTTGACGTTCATAAGCGGTTAAAATGTCCTACATGAATAAATGATTTTTGAATTTGAATTTGAATTTGCAGTTAACGACGGCCCGAGGGTCGCGCAGTTGCGTTTCTAATGGTACACGTGCCGTGCGATAAAGATTCTAGGAAGTGGACGGTGGTACGTGTAGAAACTGTGTGTGTGTGTGTGTGTGTGATGTTGATCGATAATAGTTTAGTTTAGTTTCATTTATTGACCAATGTAAAAAACATCTTTACATATATGGCAAGTCATATACAATAATGATATTTATAAAATTTAAATTCGATTACAATTATATTATTAAATAAAATAAAATAAATTAATTACGTACACAATACACGGTATAAACAATTATAATACGTTATAATAATGTTTAAAAATCATGATTACGGTATAATTATATAATTACATTTTGAGTCATATATTCTGTTATATTATAAAAAGGATGTTTTTCAAAATAATATTTTATTTTCAATTTAAATTCTTTTAGGGGTAACTGTCTGATAGTAATAGGTACCTTATTATACATTTTTATTTTTAAAGTAATGCCATGTTTAAAAGTTTTATCGAGTCTTGTTTTTGGCAATTGTATATTATCTTTATTTCGCGTGTGGTAATTATGATTATCTGAAATCTTACTTAGCTCATTTCTTTTATCGTTTATATTTAATAAACTGTGGTAGTAGTGTAATAATGACTATAAACATCACATCAATCACCATATTTATGGATGATAATAAATGATAGACATAGAGACACATTTTTATATACATACAGTACGTACATATGATGACTTTATGCATTACATTGTAACGTGATTTACTAATTGTATTCACCCTTACCTGTTCTTTATCTTTGGCTCTGACCCGTTTAAATGTTTCACTGTATTGTTTTTAAATAACCAATTTATATATAACTTTAATATTAAAGATTGTTCAAAATCTACCCTGTATCATCGTAAGCACAGATATTATATTATATTAGAGTCCGTTAGTTTTCTGTTCCCGCGCTTTCACTTCCCCTCCCTAACTAGTACTGAACCGACTGTACGGCGGCCATGACGCGCGCGCATTGTGTTGTGAATTAAAATAAATTAGAACTGTGAAACCTACTGTGAAACTGGAAAGCTAGCGAAGATATCTTCGAGACCCTGAAGCCCAAGAAATCCGCAGAACCATACAGGTACGTGACTGACGTTTCCCTAACATTTTGGTAGCAGAGTAGTTTCCCAAACAAAGATAAATTCATGAGATTCTGTTATTGGGTTTACTAACTATGTAATACTATATATTGTCTATAAATTGTATAAGCTGTTTGTTGCAGGTGAATAATACGATGTTGTTGGTCGAGACGATGTATATTACAGATGTTAATAGACTGACAATGTGTACATAGAAATAATGATCTTATATACTAAATAACAATAGGAAAATGTAAGGTGGGGTGACACAGTTTAGACACAGCAGTGCTTAGTAGACAATATTGAATTTGTCTTACTAGACATTATTAAATTCAATTATTATTTTGTTGTATCTAGGTGACTGTGTCCTATACTGTTGATTACCTAAAATAAATAATAATAATAATAATCTCAGGACAATTCACACAGCGTCATCTAGACCCAAGTTAAGCTAGCTAAAGCTTGTATTATGGGTACTAAACAACTGATACATATACATAGATATTTTTTTGTAAATACATACATATTATACATAGAAAACACCCAGACCGTTACAAACAATCATACTCATGAATACAAATGTTTGTGCCGTGCGAGGAATCGAACCTGCGACCGGTCGTAAATCGGTGTGCTAGACCGCTAGACCACCGAGGTGGTCAATAAATAAATAGACATATAATGTGATGGTGATGGTGGTGAGGTGTGGTGTACCGGGTGCGGGGGTAGGAACACGTTCCGTGCGGGCTCGGGGGCTGCGAAGGGGTTGGGCGCGGGCGGGTCCAGCGGCGCGGGCTGCAGCAGCCGCTCCAGGTTCACCAGCGACGAGTTCTCCCCGAGGAACGCCGACGGGGACTTCTTCATCGCCGCCACCGGAGACGACGGCTTAGCTAGGTTGTCACCTGGAAACCGTTATAATATCATGACGATTCGCGCAGCGCCATTTAGACCCAAGTTGAGCTAGCTGAAGCTTGTGTTATGGGTGCTTGACAACTGATATAACATATACATATATATTTTTTTCGTAAATATATACATATTATAAACTAGCTTTTGCTCGAGGCTTCGCTCGCGTTAATTTATCCCCTTGGAGGTGGAATTTATCAAAATCCTTTGTTAGCGGATGCTACGTCATAACATCTACCTGCATGCCAAATTTCAGCCCGATCCGTCCAGTGGTTTGGGCTGTACGTTGATAGATCACTATGTCAGTCAGTCACCTTTGAGTTATATATATTAAGATAGAAAACACCAAGACTGATACAAACAATCATACTCATGAATACAAATGTTTTCGCCGTGCGAGGAATCGAACCCGCGACCATCAGTACAGCGATGAGTTAAACCGCTAGACCACCGAGGCCGTAAAATCTATACATATAAATAAAATTAGAGTATATGTTTGTATTATTGAAATAAACATTTTTTACAATTTTTGTCTGTCTGTCAGTTTGTTCCGGCTAACCTCTAAAATGGCTGGACCAATTTTGCGGAACTTTTTTTGGCAGGTAGCTAATGTAATAAGGAGTAACTTAAGCTACTTTTATTTTAACGGCGTGGTTAATTTAATTGACTTATATAAAAGGAGGCAATTCTAGTTTCTAATTATGAAAAATGTCATTTTTATATTTAATCGATATATATTTATATGTCTACACCACTACCCACCACATTTTAATTTTAGAAAAATAAGGTTAAGTTCCTCGCGGACGAAATCGCGGGTACAGCTAGTATAAACCAACAAACATACCGAGTGCAGTGAGGTCGAACGGGTCCGGCTCGATGTTGTTGTTCTGATGGGTGCGCGGCCGCTGTGACAGCGCATCGAACTGTTCCAGCTCCGAAGACGAAGGCGATGACAGCACCGACGCTTGCGATTTACTCTGCACAAACAATCAAACAATATTTCATTTAAACACATCTATTTACGCTACAATTCGTTTAAATGCCTCTCGTGTATTAGACAAGGACAGACATACTCCACGATGTAGGGCCGAAATGAGCCGAGTACACCCGCGCCGCTGCTGCTATTTTAATATCGAACTAGTACCAAGGTGTACATCGTGTATTAGACAAGGACAGACATACTTCACGATGTAGGGCCGAAATGAGCCGAGTACACCCGCGCCGCTGCTGCTATTTTAAGGGGGTCTTCCTATGTGATGGGTTGAAAAAATCGATTTTTTTTTTTTCATAAATTGCTCCCTTAACATGTCTAGAATACGGTAGTAAAGCGATTTTAGAAAATTCGAAGTCGTTTTAAAGATACAGCAGGTAAAAGAAAGAGCGGTTCGGAGCGGTGAGTTGGCAGTTAGAGACCGGGCCTATTGTGTACCGTCGGCTTTATACCTGGCCTCCCTTTTATTAATATATTTGTTTATACAAGTTTAGACACGTTTCTACAGACTTAAACAGAAATTAAGGAATAGGAGGAAAAGGAGCAGGTAAACTTACTGATAAAGTTATCCAAGAAATTACAAAATTCTACGGATTAGCAATTCGACGCCATCCAGATTCGCTTGAAGATATGAGAAAGGAAGTTTGGGCAACGTACTATCACAAATGTTCTTCTGATGAAAACCCTCAGCATCAATTTTGTCCAGAAGGCGAAGACAGTTGGTGTAAATGGCGTAAGGCTGAAGCTAATAATGAACTGGACCAATTTCATCACGATAAACCACCTCTAATTCCGCAAGTCCAATAAGCTATCAAACCGGTTTTCGAAGATTTATCGAAAGACGAATTATTAATTCGTTGTTTAGGAGCAGAGACACAAAACAATAACGAATCTTTGAATTCTTTGATTTGGACTTTCGCTCCTAAACATCTTCATTCTGGTCCCAAAGTTGTTGAAATTGCTAGCTACTTAGCAGTTATTATCTTTAATGAAGGTTTTCAAGGTATTTTAAAAGTTATGTCGATTATGGGATGCCCTGTTGGTCGTGAAGCCCAAGCGTATGTTGAGAAACGGGATGAAAAGCGAATCTTACGCTCTGAGCGGCGCGTAAGTGATGTCGTTAAACAAGCCAGGATTGACTCAAGAGCTGAACAATCTGCTTTAAAAAGAGTTTCACGAGGAAGAGGAAGGAATACTCTATGGACCAGGCATCGCCGATTGAGAGTAAGTTGATATTTTAATAGTTTTTAACGGACTTGAAACTTTAAACGCGTTTTTCTCAAAACTGTGTTTTTCAAACTTTCCTCCATTGTATCTCAGAAACGGCTGGACCGAATTACTTGAAATTTACAGGGCACACTCAATATATGTAAACGCATGGAATGAACTATTATCAATCGAAAATTTTCAAAACTTCGATTTTTTTATAGCAAAAAAAAAAAAAAAAAAAACGCCTAATTTGCAACTTTTATTTCAAATGTCTATCAAAAATCCAATTTTTTTTATATTCATTTGATTATAGGTCATTCCGTGCTTTTAAGCCTACAAATTAAAACGCCGTTTTTTTTTTTTTTCAGATAAGCCGATCAGCCGGAATCGTGGAGGAAGTGGGAGCTCTTTTTTTCGAGGCGGGGGTGTTCAGAGCGCTGTAACTCTAGTTTGACTGAATATTTTTAGCTGAAATTTTATATTTATACTGTCCAAATATGTGTTAATAAATGATAAAAAACTTGAAGCTCTAAATATTTACTGGTCGTAGAAAAAAAATCCTAAAATATCCCTAAAAAACAGGCCGTCACATAGGAAGACCCCCTTAATATCGAACTAGTACCAAGGTGTACATCGTGTATTAGACAAGGACAGACATACTTCACGATGTAGGGCCGAAATGAGCCGAGTACACCCGCGCCGCTGCTGCTATTTTAATATCGAACTAGTATCAAGGTGTACATCGTGTATTAGACAAGGACAGACATACTCCACGATGTGAATAAGGTGAATATCAAAATGGCTTAATTCAAAATATACATTTCAAGACAAGCATTTAAAGTATATTTTTTTTAATTTGAGTTAATTATTTTTTCCTTTAGTAGGTAGATTAAAAAATGTAATGACTATTCAAAAGTGCTTCAATGTAAGTTTATTTGAATATATGATTTTCTATTCTATTCTATTTTAAAGTTTTAAATTTACACAGAAGTGTTATATATCATTTTAAAAGTATTTAGATAATGATTAAAACGGCGCGGTTAATTTAATTGACTTATATAAGAGGAGGCAATTCTAGTTTCTAATTTTGAAAAATGACATTTTTATATTTAATCGATATATATTTTTATATCTAAAACACCACCTACCACATTTTCTACAATAAAATTTCATTTCATATCATTACTCATGTATACAGATGTTTGTACCGTGCGAGGAATCGAACCCGTGACCATCGGCAGTAAAGCGGTGTCCTAAACCGCTAGACCACCGAGGCCGTCATGATAAAAGTAGCAAATAACGAGATAATGCCATTCGAGCATGAGTTGTGAAGTGGTTACCTGTGTGAGCGGCGCCCAGGGATCCGCAGGTAGAGCTGCGGGGGGCGCGGCCGCGGCGGAGCCCCAGGCCTCCCGCGACGGACTGCCCACCGCCGACCACGACTCCGGGGACGTCTCCTGCACACACCACACAATTACCAAACATATTACGTCACAACAGAGTTTATTTGTTTATGTTATCACTTTCGCTGTTTCGAAAGTAGCACAAGATGGCGGCGTATGAACAGTGATTCGAACAATCAAGGCATTAAAAAAGTAATTCAAGTGAGTTTCTTGCCAGTTCTTCTCAATTGGATCTATATACCGAACTGGACGGTAGGGAAAAAAAATGTAAAAAATGTAACGTTCATAAGCGGCTAAAATGTCCTACAAGAATAAATGATTTTTGAATTTGAATTGTACAAACAGCTCACAAATGGAACGGATGAGTCGTGCACAGGTTTCTAATCTATATATATAGACATAAAATTGGAGTGACTGTTTGTAATATTGAAATAACCGTTTTTTACTACTTGCATATGAATATAAATACGGTACATACACCAAAATAACATTTTAAACAATTTTTGTCTATCTGTCCGTTTGTTCCGACTAAACTCTGAAATGGCTGGAAAATAAAAGTAGCCTAAGTTACTCCTTATTACATCAGCTACATGCCAATAAAAGTCCCGTCAAAATCGGTCCAGCCATTTCAGAGATTAGCCGGAACAAACAGACAGACAGACAAAAATTGTAAGAAATGTTATTTTGGTGTATGTACCGTATTTATATTAATAAACGGTTATTTCAATATTACAGACAGACACTCCAATTTTATTTATATAATAGATTTAACACTGTATTATTCTAAATGATTCAAAATTGTATTATATTAAACTACGTTTAAATTTTGTTTGATCAGGCCACCAAACTGTGACTCCGACCAAAAAACAATACAAATCTATTAAGTAAACTACTTACATATACACATATACTATGACATATGTGAAAGACACATTCTAGCGTACAACTCCACAACACAAGTGCACTCATCATCCTTACCATAGATTCGGCGAAAACACCAAAATCCATATGCATCGACTGACAAACATACTTTTTATATAATACTTCAATAATAATAATAATAATAGACCTATTACAAAAAGCCGTCATACTAAACACATGCCGAATAGTCAGAAAATTTCTATCTTCATCACATAACTCATCCATGCTTGGCTAAGGCCCGCGTGTTTGAATATATTACCCCCGTAATAAGGGAGGTATAATTCATATAATATATGTATGTAATAATAATAATAATAATCTCAGGATAATTCACACAGCGTCATCTAGACCCAAGTTAAGCTAGCTGAAGCTTGTGTTATGGGTACTAGACAACTGATACAAATACATAGATTTTTTTTTGTAAATACATATATATTATACATAGAAAACACCCAGACCGATACAAACAATCATACTCGTGAATACAAATGTTTGTGCCGTGCGAGGAATCGAACCCGCGACCATCGGTCGTAAAGCGGTGTACTTGACCGCTAGACCACCGAGGTCGTCAATAGAAATTCAATGAAATAGAAATCTTATATATACAATTCTTGTGTCACAATGTCAGTTACCATACTCCTCTGAAACGACTTGACCGATTTTTATGAAATTTTATATGAATGTTCAGTAGGTCTTAAGAATCGGCTACTATCTATTTTTCATACCCCTAAGTGATAAGAATTGTCCACCCCTAACATTATTTTTACTTTTAGGGCAATATTTTTTTATTTATATTTTTTTAATAATAAACCCTAAATTTTCACCCTTCTATCACCAACCCCTATTTTTTTATAGCGTTATTAATTTAAATGGCAAAACAACGTTTGCCGGGACAGCTAGTATCTTAATAATATTATAAACGCGAAAGTTTGTGAGTATGGATGGATGTTTGTTACTCTTTCACGCAAAAACTACTGAACGGATTTTGATTGAAAATTTAAAGTAATATATCTTATGCATCAGAATAACACATAGCCTATATTTTATATACAACTAGTTTCTCGCCCCAACTCCGCACTGGTGTACATGTATTAAACATATAAACCATCCTCTTGAATCACTCTATCTATTAAAAAAACCGCTTCAAAATCCGTTGCGTAGTTTTAAAGATTTAAGCATACATAGGGACAGACAGCGACAGCGACTTTGTTTTATACTATATAATGTAGTAAAACCGCGGGCACAGTTAGTTTGCCATAATTTTTATTTAAAACCTGTTTAAGTATATTAATAAAGATATAGTTATTGATAAAAATGTATTTTTGGCAAATAATACCTTTTTTCCGGACTACTCTAATGCTGTTGGCCGCAGCTGGCCTTTACAGCTTCACCTATCGATAGGGGGCGAGTGCAGATGGCACTCCAAACCAAAGGAAGGACTTATGGAGCGGCTGAAGGCCAACTCCTGCCTGACGGGTAATGTGGAATTAAATTAGTAGAAATTAAGCAATCGGTTACAAGTACCTGTCTTTGTTGTGGCGACGTGAGCCCCCATGGATCAGTGGCTGGTGCAGGTGACAGGTTCACATCCAGTAGGTCCAACAGGTGAGACTGCTGCGGCTCTGGCTTCTTTTCCACACCCGTAGCCCTGTAATATTCATTCATTCATTCGTTACTGTTCATCGCAATACTCTATACATATAAATAAAATTGGAGTGTCTGTTTGTAATATGAAATAACCGTTTTTTACTATATACATATGAATATAAATACGGTACATACATCAAAATAAAATTTTTTACAATTTTTGTCTGTCTGTCTGTAAGTCAGGATAATATTTTAAGAAAGGTGTTACATATGAATGTGGATGGTTATAAGGGCAGAGGAAGGCCGAAAAAGAGATGGATGGACTGTGTGAAAGATGATATGGTAAGAAAGGAAGTAAATAACGAGATGACTGCGAACAGAGATGAATGGAAGAGAAAAGCATATTACGACGACCACAAATAAATCGGATAAGGAAGAAGCAGATGATGATGTCTATCAATCTGTTTGTTCCGACTAATCTCTGAAATGGCTGGACCGATTTTGACGGGACTTTTTTTGGCAGACAGTTGATGTAATAAGGGGTAACTAAGGCTAGCTACTTTAATTTTAATAATGAAATTTTACACTATTCTCATCTAACGGTTTACGCAGACACTATTGGAGGAGGTAAGTGACAAATACACATACATGAAAGTTATACTATTTACAATGAGTTTATTTATATATTACTACTTATATGTGAATGTTACTGTATTACACAATGATACGAGATTCGAACCGGCACTAACACAGTCATGCTCGGTTGGAAGCACTCCATGCACTGGAAGATCCAGCATTGTTGGTTCTCTTCACAGGACTTCAAATTACCACTGCAATTGACCCACCACTCTTGACGGAGAAGTTTCTCCAGTCTGACGGGGAAGGATATGGAATAAGATGGGAAAGGAAGAAGGACTAGTTATAGAGGCATTGGAACGTGTAGTTATATATATATATATATACTGTCTTACTGATTAAGTTTTTTTTTGACAATTCACACAGCGCCATCTAGTTCCAAGCTAAACAGAGCTTGTGTTATGGGTACTAGACAGCTGATATAAATAAATAAATATACAATTTTTTTGTACATAATATACATAGTAAACACCCAAACCGGTACAAACAATCATAATCATGAATATAAATGTTTTGCCGTACGAGGAATCGAACCCGCGACCATAGGAAGTAAGGCGGTGTGCTAAACCACTAGACCACCGAGGCTGTCTTGATGTGAAATGAAATTTTATTGCGTATTGACCTTTGTTATCACAATTATTATCAAATCGAATTATATAGCTGCCTTTACACATATGCTCTTATACCTGCCGAATCACCTTTCACTAAGGAAAGAATAGAACAGAAAATAATTTCCAGGGTCATTGGGCTCCCTAAAATATAGTCGAGCGCAGTGATGGCTGGCTCATCCGTCATACTCGTGAACGAGTGCTGCTTGTAGGCTTGCTTGCTCTTATCACTACGACTGATTTAATCTTATTGTGTTATTGTATTTGGTTCTAAGTATCATTTTCATTTAAAAAAAAAAATTAAATGAAAGGAATCTACGAATACTAAAATATAGTCGAGCGCAGTGACGGCTGGCTCATCCGTCATACTCGTGAACGAGTGCTGCTTCTAGGGACTGGTCAGTTCTAATCATTACGATTGATTTAATCTTATTGTGTTATTATATTTGGTTCTAAGTATCATTTTCATTTAAAAAAAAAAATTAAATGAAAGGAATCTACGAATACTAAAATATAGTCGAGCGCAGTAATGGCTGGCTCATCCGTCATACTCGTGAACGAGTGCTTGTAGGGTTGCTTGCTCTTATCACTACGACTGATTTAATCTTATTGTGTTATTATATTTGGTCCTAAGTATCATTTTCATTTAAAAAAAAAAAAAAAATGAAAGGAATCTACGAATACACGCCAAAGAGTGAATATAAAAAAAATATTAAAATGCATTTTAAATGACAGTGAAATTACACGAATCGTACAAACAAACACATACGAAAGAGTTAACAAATCACTCACGTATACGGGCGCTACGATATATACAATTTTTTTTCGGACTACTCTAATGCTGTTGGCCGCAGCTGGCCTTTACAGCTTCACCGGACGATACAACTCACTTTAGTATCCAAAACACAATCGGCATGCTCTGAGCTCGTCGACTGAATGCCGCAGCTCACCCAACGAAAGAGGATTATTCAATTTTTTTTCGGACTACTCTAATGGTCTTTACAGCTTCACCGGTCACCGGACCGACGACGACGGCTGAAGGCCAACTCCCACCTGACGGATTTTCAGACTACTCTAATGCTCTAGTCCGCAGCTGGCCTCTACAGCTTCACCGGACGTTAGGGGGCGAGTGCAGATGGCACTCCAAACCCGCGGAAGGACTTATAGAACGGCTGAAGGCCAACTTCCGCCTGACGGATACGACTTTAGTCTGAGGGCACCGCTAGAGGATCGAACCTCGGTCAGGCCGTCGTAATTTCGATCCCCGTTTGAATTGGACGGGGAATCGATCAGAGAGGACAAAATAATCGTGTAAAGGCCATGTATATAAACAAGATAAGTAATAGTAATAGTAATACTGACTGGAAGTCGTTCTGCGACTGGCTGATAGCGAGCTGCAGGCGCACGTCATCCGAGCGGCGCCGTCGCTCCTCCCGCTCCGCCTCCTCGCGGGACATGGCGAGCGCCAGCTGCAGCTGCAGCTCCTCCTCGCCGGCCGTGAGGGGGCGCGCCAGCTCGGCCTCCCGCCCCCCTCCCGCGCCCCCGCCCGCGCCCCCGGCGCCCCCGTTCGCGCCCCAATCGGCGAACTCTCCGCCCATCTGCGAAGCCGTCGCGTCACTCTGCGTGTTTACGCGCTCGCTCAGACAGGGGACCGAGCCCCACGCACTGTCAGCCGTGATACCTCTGTCGCGCTTGTTCCTGGCTACTTTATTCTCGCTCTGCAATATATGTTCCGGTTCGTGTACGTCATTTGACACGAGGACCGCCACCGTAATCCTGCATCCATGGATAAGACCACACGAGGGACATATATATCAAGGACGACACAATATATTATGTAATATCCCTGATCAACGTTCACGATTAAACCTACATACAAAAATGAGTACTTAATGATATAATTTTTTTAATGATTTCAAACAAGCTCACGGTCTACCTGATGAATGGCAACCGTCGTTATAAAACTATACATATATAGCACCACGGGAGTAACGTCGTCACCTGACGCTAACCGTATCCCTCATGCGTTCCCACTCCTGAGGATAAAGATGTCATTCCTCTATACCCTATAATTCCTCTGCCACATAATTCAAACCGAAACACACAAAGCAGTATATAAAAATAACCCAGGACAATTTACACAGCGCCATCTAGTCCCAAAACAAACAAACATTGTGCTATGGGTACTAAACGACAGATAAAAATACTTAAATATATTTTGCATACAATCAACTATCATAAAACAATTTCCTCCAACGGCGAGGCAATGAACCCGCGACCGTCGGAAGCAAATCGGCAGTCTAGCGGTTTAACCTTTCGAACGTTTTGACACAGATCTGTGCAACACTCTTAAACCGTATTACCGTCTTATCACAGATCTGTGCCCGCAAAACCGTGACTTCTTTTTAACCAATTTTATCATTATTAAAACGAAATAAGATTCAAATTCAAATTCAAATTCAAAAATCATTGATTCATGTAGGACATTTTAGCCGCTTATGAACGTCAAGTTTTTACATTATATTTTTTTCCCTACCGTCCAGTTCGGTATATAGATCCAATTGAGAAGAACTGGCAAGAAACACAATTGAATTACTTTTTTTTAACATCCAGTTTATTTACAATGCATAGGTATTTATATAGGTGTCTATGTCTAACATTAAATGAAAATCCCGAACATGAAAACTATTGCCATGCACGCTCGTCATTCAACGCTTGAAACAATGACGATAGAACAACGATTGAAACGCATTTGAGAAAATACAACAGGCGCGCGCATACTGCCTCTTCACTTTCGGTTGCTACGACAAACGACATACATTCGAAAGGTTAACACACCGGTATACCGTCGACATCACCATAATCATCACACAACCGCTAATAATCAATTGAAACTATTTTATCACAATAAAACGAACAAAAAAAAACATAACAGCGCATCAAACTCGGACAAACACAATTTTATTTCTAAAATTAAATTGGCAGCATGTACATAATAATAATAACAAAAAAACTAACAAAGTACACAGATCTAGCAATAGAATTAAAAAAACAATGGAAAGCACACACCATCCACATAGTACCCATAGTTTTGTCATCCACAGGAATTATACCAACAAGTCTGAACAAACACCTAGACACGTTGCATATCCCCTCCTCTACAATAGACCTATTACAAAAAGCCGTCATACTAAACACATGCCGAATAGTAAGAAAATTTCTTTCTTCATCACATAACTCATCCATGCTTGGCTAAGGCCTGCGTGTTTCAATATATTACCCCCGTAATAAGGGAGGTATAATTCATATAATATATGTATGTAATAATAATAATAATTACTCATTAAAAAAACTGTACTTTAATAGAACATTCTTCATTGAACTCCAGAAATCTACAATGATACATGTTCTATAGTTAGAAAATTTTTAATAATACCTCACATTCCTACTGAATAAAATAAAATATGCGAACAAGTGACTTGGTAAAAAAATTTTGGTAAAATACATATAATAATAATAATAGAATAGTCCGCAAATTTTGTCATCGTAATCATTTATTTAATCATTGTCATTGGTGATATTCACCCGCAATGACAAGTTTAACACCTCATCAAAGGGAGATATATAATATATACATATATATAAAAAAATAATAATAATAATCGGTACTAATGACCAGCTTAAGCTGTGAAAAAGAGATAATAAATAATGATAAAGGATGTGTGTTACTCTTTCACGCAAAAACTGAACTGATTTTGATGTAACTTTGCATCAAAATAACTAGGCTATTTCATATTGAAATTTAACGCAGTCAAACCGCGGGTACAGCTAGTAATATTATAAACGCGAAAGTTTATGAGTATGGATGTTTGTTACTCTTTCACGCAAAAGCTGAGCTGATTTTGATGAAACTTTACAGTAATATAGATTATACATCATAACAACATATAGGCTATAAAAATCACGCGGATGAAACTACGAAGCAAAACAAAAAATATATATACATTGACTTATAAATGACAAACTAACATACAATTAATGATTTATATATATTATAAATATTATACCGCGGGATAGCCAGGACTAGAGGGCGTGTCGAGCGCTCCATCGCTGCCGAAAGCGCTAGCGCTTTGAGCGAACCGCTGTTTCGCTTTCAGCGCTCGCGCCCGTTCATTCTTCAGTCGCTCGTCATCTTTCAACAGATTGACCAGCTGTTTCGCTTTCTCTCTAACATTTAGACCTGGAATTTAAATATAATAATAATAATCTCAGGACAATTCACACAGCGCCATCTAGACCCAAGTTAAGCTAGCTAAAGCTTGTGTTATGGGTACTAGATAACTGATACATATACATAGATTTTTTTGTAAATACATATTATACATAGAAAACACTCAGACGGATACAAACAATCATACTCATGAATACAAATTTTTGTGCCGTGCGAGGAATCGAACCTGCGACCATCGGTAGTAAAGGTGCTTGACCGCTGGACCACCGAAAATAATCTTATATATAAAATTCTCGTGTCACAGTTTTCGTTCCCATACTTTATATTCTATTAGTTCATAATTTATATTTTACTAGCTATCCACCCCGGCTTTGAACGGGTGTACATGTATTGTACATATAAACCTTCCTCTTGAATCACTCTATCTATTAAAAAAACCTCTTCAAAATCCGTTGCGTAGTTTTAAAGTTTTAAGCATATATAGGGACAGACAGCGAAGGCAAGAATGGATAAGATAAAGAATGAATACATTAGAGGAAGTATGAAAGTGGCGCCGGTGTCAGAGAGGTTGAAGAGTAATCGTCTATCATGGTATGGACATGTAATGCGTAGGAACGAGGATAATATTTTAAGAAAGATGTTACATATGAATGTGGATGGTTATAAGGGCAGAGGAAGGCCGAAAAAGAGATGGATGGACTGTGTGAAAGATGATATGGTAAGAAAGGGAGTAAATAACGAGATGACTGCGAACAGAGATGAATGGAAGAGAAAAACATATTACGACGATCACAAATAAATGGGATAAGGAAGAAGCAGATGATGATATGGACAGACAGCGACAGTGACTTTATTTTATACTATGTAATGATTTTATTACCGAACTGGACGGTAGGGAAAAAAAATTATAATGTAAAAACTTGACGTTCATAAGCGGCTAAAATGTCCTACATGAATAAATGATTTTTGAATTTGAATTTGATTATTTATCCGTAGATATTGTCACATATAGTCATATGTGACAATATAGTAGTCACTATGAGTGTACTATGCCCTTCAGCCAGTATTTGGGACGTGGGATTTGATGTCCGACCTTGTGTACTATGAACTCATATGACTACAATACATACAAACAGGACGAAACAATAGAAATGCTATCACAGAAATCACATAACTATTATCTAATTGTATAATTTTATATTATACTTTTTACTATAAGTCCAGCCGTATGTGTTTGTTTAACGGATTTTGAAGCGGTTTTTTTTTAATAGAGGGAGTGATTCAAGAGGAAGGTTTATATGTATAATACATGTATAGGAGGGGAATGTGATTGTTAGTAATGTGGACTCATGACCCCATTACTAGCAATGTACCATATCAGGTTGACCTCCACGCGGTTCCCCCTGGAAACCATCGTGATAAATTTCCGGTAAATTTGTCATGATGTGCTAACTGACCTGGCCTTATGCTCATCTTATCATCCTCCACTGGTGCCCCGCCAGCGTAAACCGTTAGCGCAGGCGGGTGCAACATTTCATTATCACCCCCAAAAAAACAACCCACAACCTTTGTATGTACAGTAGTATGTTAAACCACTAAATCATCGAGCTCGTCAAATAGCAGTAAGTAAACAAACCTTGATCTTTACATTCCTCCATATACTGAAAGTCCTTCAGTGTGTGTATAGCGTATATATTCTCCTTGCACTGCATAGCCACCTTCTCACTACCAGTCTTGATCAGATACTCCATCAGCACCAGCGCCTTGTACACGTGCCGCCAGTTCTTGCCGTGGTCGTTCAGCCTCTTCCAGATCATCTGCATGATCTCCGTGAAAGCCATCACGTTGTAGGTCAGGTCGGCGATCTCCGCCATGAGGGTGCTTGATGGGCCCCATGGGTCGTTCGATGTGGCCTCGCGCACTTTGACCTGCAAATGTAATGGGAAACCATAATCGTGATGGCTGATTTGATAGGCCAAAGTCACGTGACAAAGTAGTCAATGTGGACCTCTATTATTTCTTGCAGCCGATATGCAGTTTCTTTATTAGTTTTAGTAAGGATTCCTATTTTTTTCGGAAATATAGCTTATGTCACCCAAGGATAGTGCAGTTTCCTAATGGTGACAGAATTTTTCAAATCAGTCCACTATTTTCGGAGCCTATTCAATATAAACAAACAAACAAACCTTTTCTCTTTATTATATTAGAACTAGCTATACCCGCGACTTCGTCCGCGTGGATTTAACAAAAAAGTTAGAGAATTTTTCTAAAATAAAAGTAGCCAAAGTTACTCCTTGCATTACCTACCTGCCAAAAAAGTCCTTTCAAAATCGGTCCAGCCATTTCAGAGATTACCAGGAACAAACAGACAGACCAAGAGGCAAGAATTGTAAAAATTGTTATTTTGGTGTATATACCGTATTTATATTCATATGCATGTAGTAAAAAACGGTTATTTCAATATTACAAACAGACACTCCAATTTTATTTATATGTATAGATTATAGATGTAGATATGTCCTGAAGATTCAGTCTTTACATTGTAAATGCCGAAAAAAGATCTAAAGGAACGATGTCGACGCCGCTCTGTTCCTTTAGATCTTTTAAACTACGCAACAGATTTTAATGCAGTTTTCAGCAATAGATAGAGTGATTTAATAGGAACTTTTATATGTATAATACATGCGTATTACAGTATAGAACAAGCCGAGAAATTCAAAGAATAATAATACACCCGTGCGGATCCGGGACCGGAAGCTTGTGCTAGAACAATAAAGGGGATTTTAACTGATTGTTTTTAATTCACGTCCTCAACGTCTGATTTACCTATATTACTGTAGAGTTTCTTCAAAATCCGTTTAGTTTTTGAGTGAACGAGTAACAACATCCATCCATCCATATATACATATATATGACGGCCTCGTGGTCTAGCGGTCTAGCACACCGCTTTACGTCCGATGGTCGCGGGTTCGATTCCTCGCACGGCACAAACATTTGTATTCATGAGTATGATTGTTTGTATCGGTCTGGGTATTTTCTATGTATAATATGTATGTATTTACGAAAAAGAAAAAAATTATCTATGTAGTTGTATCAGTTATCTAGTACCCATAACACAAGCTTTAGCTAGCTTAACTTGGGACTAGATGGCGCTGTGTGAATTGTCTTGAGATTATTATATTATTATTATTATATATGTGTATTAAGTACACATAATGTTTGAAAGCGTTTGTAAACTACACACATATTAAAAATTACATAAATATATAAAAAACATACATCATTTATAATTTAATACAAGCCAAAAAATACTTGAAAACGGGCTGTTAAAATTTTCATAATCGAATCGGCACTGAACCTTGACCTCGTAGGTGTATACACTACGGGTAAATTCATTAGCATTCACTACGCCGATCGTGTGAGAGAACCTTATTGTTTTTCCTTGGTTATAAGATAACCATGGAAAAACTATAAATCTCTTACGACCTTGTATGTTAAAATGCCGGCCAATGTGATAAACTCCAGTGAATGTTAGCGTAACAAATGTGGAAGTTATATATATGAAAGTAGAAATAGCAATAGAAATAATCTTTATTCAAATAAACTCATTACAAGCACTTTTGAATAGTCATATTTTGATTCTACCACTCATTCGGAATGCAGATTCATCACAAGAAGAATGAGCAATAAACTTGTGTGTTGCTCTTTTTAATATATGTTTTTTTTATATAAATAATTACAGTATAACAAGAGGCATGCGATAATCAACATAGATATCGCTACGCACGCAAAGTATGTCTGTCTATCTTTCTGTTTCACGACTAAATGTATGAATAGATTAAAAAAAAACTAATTTTTTTATCGAATTAGGTGTTAACTAACTTATATTATAGACGCGAAAGTTTCTGAGTAAAGATGGATGGATGTTGTTAACCTTTCACGCAAATACTAAACAGATTTTGATAAAACTTTACAGTAATATAGGTACATTAGAATAACACATCCTTGTTAATGATCGGTTCAGTAGTTTTTGTGTGAAAGCGTAACAAACATCCCAATTTTGACATCTATACATATAAATAAAATTGGAGTGTCTGTTTGTAATATTGAAGTAACCATTTTTTATTACATGCATATGAATATAAATACGGTACATACACCAACATAACATATTTTACAATTTTTGTCTATCTGTCTGTCTGTTTGTTCCGCCTAATCTTTGAAATGGCTGGACCGATTTTGACGGGACTTTTATTGGCAGGTAGTAGATGTAATAAGGAGTAAATTACTTTTATTTTAGAAAATTAAAGTGAAATTCCACGCGGACGAAATCGCGGGTACTGCTAGTTTATAATATAGTGTGTTGGTGAACTACATGTGGACTGATGATCTTATTACTAGCCATATACCATGCCAGGTTGACCCCCACGCGGTTCCCCCTGGAACCCATTATCATAAATTCTTGGTGAATTTGTCACGATAACGCATTAGCCCAGGCGGGTGCACAATTCCATTATCATCATCATCTGCTTCTTCCTTATCCCATTTATTTGTGATCGTCGTAATATGTTTTTCTCTTCCATTCATCTCTGTTCACAGTCATCGCGTTATTTACTTCCTTTCTCACCATATCATCTTTCACACAGTCCATCCATCTCTTTTTCGGCCTTCCTCTGCCCTTATAACCATCCATATTCATTTGTAACATCTTTCTTAAAATATTATCCAATACAATTCCATTATCATACATAAAAAAATCTACATTACCTGAGCATCGGAGTAGTTGTGGGCGAGGTTCTTGATATTTCTCCTCAAACCGGACACGTTGACTTGCATGTCGTCCCGCCCTCGGGGCATCTGAAATGTATCACATCTTAAATTAATACGTCTAACAAACAAACATACAGATAATAATAATAATAATAATCTCAGGACAATTCACACAGCGCCATCTAGACCCAAGTTAAGCTAGCTAAAGCTTGTGTTATGGGTACTAGACAACTGATACAAATACATAGATTTTTTTTTTTCGTAAATGCATATTATACATAGAAAACACCCAGACCGATACAAACAATCATACTCATGAATACAAATGTTTGTGCCGTGCGAGGAATCGAACCCGCGACCATCGGACGTAAAGCGGTGTGCTAGACCGCTAGACCACCGAGGTCGTCAAGATGTGAATGAATAATGGCAAAGTAAAAGTTTATTTTTATTTATTTATTAACTCTATTGCACCAGACAAACAATTATACAAAGAACATACAGATAATCTATACATATAAATAAAATTGGAGTGTCTGTTTGTAATATTGAAATAACCGTTTTTTACTATATACATATGAATATATATACGGTACATATAACAAAATAACACTTTTGATAATTTTTGTCTGTCTGTCTGTTGGTCTGTTTGTTCCGGCTAAACTCTAAAATGGGTGGAACGATCATGACGGGACTTTTTTTGGCAGGTATCTGATGTAATAAGGAGTAACTTAGGCTACTTTTATTTTATAGAAAAATAAAGTTAAATTCCACGCAGACGAAGTCGCAGGAACAGCTAGTAAAAAATAAAATTTAAAAGAAAGATATGACTTTGAAACGCGCGCAATCTTGGCGCGTGACGAGAGACCATGAAAAATAATAAATGTAATTCCTCAGAATTGCGCGCGTAAAATTTAAAAGAAAGATATGACTATGAAAAAAGATATGAAACACGCGCAATCTTTGCGCGTGACGAAAGAACATGAAAAATAATAAATGTAATTCCTCACAATTGCGCGCCCTGTCTTTCCGGCGCTAAATCGTGTATGCTCCTGATCGCGAGTGAAACGTGTCGTGTAAAGGTAGCTATTAAACATTACGCTATAGCCCCAGGGATCGTGAATTTGTGTGACCCTGTGCTAAACCTAATTATATTACTCAACTAAAAAAATACACCGACCAAAAACAAGCGACCAGAAATTCCCCGTACCTTTCGCTAGACGCGTACTTGCATGTGTTGATTGATCTCAGGGTTGCCAACCTTATGATAGGTTTTTTAACATTGTCTATATTTTTTATATTCTAAATATAGTGGAAATTGGGGGCTCTTCGTATCCTCGGGGCCCTGGGTTGCAGCCCAAAAAGCTTAGGTAGATCCGCCCTATAGCCCTTTACAAAAAAAATCTAAAAAGAATCGTATGATAAGTTTTTTAACATTGTCGAATTTTTTTTATATTCTAAATATAATGGGAACTGGGGGCCCTTCGTATCCTCGGGGCCCTGGGCTGCAGCCCAAAAAGTCCTTAGGTAGATCCGCCCCTGCAAAGCCCTTTACAAAAAAAAATCTAAAAAGAATCGTATGATAGGTTTTTTAACATTGTCGAATTTTTTTTATATTCTAAATATAATGGGAACTGGGGGCCCTTCGTATCCTCGGGGCCCTGGGCTGCAGCCCAAAAAGCCCTTAGGTAGATCCGCCCCTTTACAAAAAAAAAACTAAAAATAATCGCTAAGCGAAAATCATATCTTGACGACCACTGTACAAAGATTTAAATGTATTGACTGTTCCATGTCAATATATCTACGAAGTGTGCATATTTGTAAGAATGCACATCAAATTATTTAGAAAAAAAGGTGAATACTGTAATTTTAACGTAAGGAATCCAAATAATCTCATTCTCCCATACAATACTACAAACTTGTATAGCAGAAATGCCTATTGTATATCAATAAAAACTTACAATAAGTTGCGGGATGATATAAAAATACTAGCGATAAATATGTTCAAGAGAGAGTTAAAAAGATGGCTGATCAATAAGTGTTTATACTCTGTTGATGAGTACTTTAATTCATGAAGTAGGTAATCGTAGTACTTTGCCCAGAAATTTAAATTTAATTTAATAATGATCACTGATAATAATGAAACTGAGAAATATGTATACTCTTATAATAATAAACGGACACTGTTAATTTATGCATGCCAGTTTCTGGTGAAAAGTGTGATACATAAATTATAATTTTTAAAATCCTGTAAACCACCTTTCAGGCAAAATAAAGATATTTGATATTTGATAAAGCGACCCCCGAATGCCCTTGAAACTAAAGGGTAAAGTTTATAAATCTATCATAAGACCTGTCATTTTGTATGGATCTGAATGTTGGGCCGTAAAGGGGATGGACGAAAGGCGTGTGCATGTGGCAGAAATGCGAATGTTAAGATGGATGTGTGGGGTTACCAGGAATGACAGAATAAGGAATGAGTATATACGAGGAAGTTTGAAAGTTGCGCCGGTTATAGAAAAGTTGCGAGGTAACAGATTGAGCTGGTATGGGCATGTTATGCGGAGGAATGAGGACCATGTCTTATGGAAAGTGTATAATATGAATGTGGATGGATGTAAAGGGAGGGGACGCCCTAAGAAAAGATGGATGGATTGTGTTAAAGATGATATGAATAAAAGAAGAGTATGTTTAGATATGACGACTGATAGAGAGCAGTGGAAGAGAATGACATACTGCGCCGACCCCAAATAATGGGATAAAGGCAAGGCAATGATGATGATATTTGATAAAGTGGGCGGGATGGAAAACGACGGTGATTTTTTAATAAAACGGCAAGTGAAACCACGAGGCAGTTTCTATTGTAATTCAGGTATGGACGATAAACGATTAAGAAATGATGAGTAATGATAATTATCATGTTAGATTAAGATAATACGGAGGTATAGATAAACATGTCTCGGATGACTCAAAATGATGAAATTTTGCATAGTTTACGCTTTTTGTTTTTATTTAATTTTGTTTTTATTTATTTTATTTTTATTTAAATCTCTAAACATTGTATAATTATAATTTATTTAGTGTAGCATATATAATATAAGCATCATATATTATAATGTAAAACCTTGACGATCATAAGCGGCTAAAATGTCCTACATGAATAAATGTTTTTTGAATTTGTATTTCATAATTTGTTTAACTTATATCACATTTCGGTTGGGGGCCTGGTGATCTGTATTACTGGTTATGACTATCTCAGACACCAGCACCTCACAGCAAATCGATTCAAATAATAAATGAAAAAATGTATTTGTTATTTGAATGGTCAAGAAGCTGACTGCACATCTGATGTTGACTTTATTTAGGGTCGAGTTAACTGACTATGTCTATGTGACTATGTGACCCTGGGCTTTCCATCGTTTAACATCAGATGGGCCGTATGCTTGTTTAAAAATGGTATTACTCGATTGATGTGTTTTTTAAATTAAAAACGATATACATAACAAATACTGCAAGCTAAATTTGAAAAATAATTAATTTTTATATGAACACAATGTTTATTGCGTTATTGTGAATATAATAGAATAGAAAATCATTTATTCAAATAAACTTAATTTAAGCACGTCTATACCAATATTCAGCTCTATGCGAATTTTGGCTAACTGAAATGTCTATTTTGACTGGACTATTACAAGTGTAGGCACACTATATATTGCTAAAAAGCCTCATCATCATCATCATCGCAGCCCGGAAGACGTCCACTGCTGGACATAGGCCTCCCCCAAAGATCTCCACGACGATCGGTCCTGTGCTGCTCGCATCCAATGCCTTCCAGCGATCTTGAAGCTATAACGCCTCATATATATTGTCAATAAAATTTTGTCACTATGATATAAAGACTGAGTCATTACATAGTATAAAACAAAGTCGCTGTCGCTGTTTATCCGTCCCTATGTATGCTTAAATCTTTAAAACTACACAACGGATTTCGAAGCGTTTTTTTTTATAAATAGAGTGAGTTATTCAAGAGGAAGGTTTATATAGATAATACATGTACACCCGTGCGAAGCCGGGGCGAGTAGCTGTTTCTACATATACAAATCGCAATCGAAAGTCCACATTGTAACTGTGATATTAAAGTCAAATTTCAAAATATTTAAAGTTCTGTATTACACTAGTATTGTACTGGATATGCGATGTATTGTGACGACTATAGGCGAGTCACCAAGCTCTTGTAAAAATAATCATAATATTAATTTGAAGAGAATACCAGCTGAGTTTCTTGTCAGTTCTTCTCATCTCGAAATCATCCGAGCTGACGGTAGATTTGACATATCATAAGACTCTATAATAGACCTACATGAATAAAGATATTTTGTTGAATTTAGAATCGAAATTTATTGCCAACCAGCTGTTCCCGCGACTTCGTCCGCGTGGAATTTAAATTTATTTTTCTAAAATAAAAGAATTTAACTGATATAAAAGTTACTCCTTATTATATTAGCTACCTGCCAAAAAAAGTCCCGTCAAAATCAGTTCAACCACTTCAGAGATTAGCCGGAACAAACAGACCGACAGATAGACAGACAAAAATTATCAAAAATGTTATTTTGGTATATGTACCGTATATATAATATATTCATATACATGTAGTAAAAAACGGTTATTTCAATATTACAAATAGATACTCCAATTTTATTTATATGTATAGATTAGGTACATTTCTATTATAGTAGTATGTAAAAGACAACAACCTCAGCTAAAATGTTTGTAAACAAAGAAATCTCTCAATAAATGAAATGCGGACGAGTTGGGCGGGCCAACTAGTAGTATATAATAATAATAATCTCAGGACAATTCACACAGCGCCATCTAGACCCAAGTTAAGCTAGCTAAAGCTTATGTTATGGGTACTAGATAACTGATACGTATACACAGATATTTTTTTGTAAATACATACATATTATACATAGAAAACACCTAGACCGATACAAACAATCATACTCATGAATACAAATGTTTGTGCCGTGCGAGGAATCGAACCAGCGACCATCGGTCGTAAAGCGGTGTGCTTGACCGCTAGACCACCG